AATCAAAAAACAAGAATTATCCAGAGGAAATTTATATTTTACAAACTTACATAATTCAATTTTTAATATTTTATTTTAATTCATCCATTAATAATAGTAATAATAATAATAATTGCAGGATCAAGTGCAGGGAGCAGGAAGGTATCTGAGTATGGTGGGAACCTGTTTGGATTCGGGAGTAGATCTGTTCTGGGATCAGGATGGCCAAGGGATCCAATTAAGGAATCATTGTATTTAGATATCCCCATCTATAAGTTTATCAAATATCTTGAAAACAAAAATAATCTTTATTTTTTGATGGTGGAATATTTTAATATGAGTGGTTTTAAGGTGGAAGGAGACACGGTGACTTTAGTTTTTGAAATGCGGAGTGGTAGGGAGCATAATACCCCTGATAGAGCAATTTGGGGATTCAAGGTAGGGAGCATAATACCCCTGATAGAGCAATTTGGGGATTCAAGGTAGGGAGCATAATACCCCTGATAGAGCAATTTGGGGATTCAAGGTAAGGACCATAATACCCCTGATAGAGCAATTTGTGGATTCAAGGTAGGGAGCATAATACCCCTGACAGAACAATTTGGGGATTCAAGGTAAGGACCATAATAAACCTGATAGAGCAATTTGTGGATTCAAGGTAAGGACCATAATACCCCTGATAGAGCAATTTTGGGATTCAAGGTAGAAAGCATAATAATATACAATACAGCAAGTTTTTACCATGCAGTGGTCCAGAATGTGAGATTTTATTCTGTATTTTGTTAAGGTTCGGATTGTATCTCATGAACCTGATGAGAATAGGAATATACCACTTCTCCCTGATATAACCCTCACCCTGACAGTACTTCTAGCAGAGAACCTAAACATCCTCTACAATGGAAAGAAAATATCTGCGGTAACTTTTTCAAATTGAGGCACTTTGTCACGCACTCCTAGAGTCCCTCAATGTCTCTTGATCTCTATTTTATGCAGACATACAGATTTTAAATTATTCTTTGATATCACTTGGTGGTCATACCCTGAAGGAATAGCTTTAATTTATCGAGGGATCAATAATTTATCTTAAAAGGCCCCACATTGGATATTGAGATCAAGCATTCAAGATTATCGATCACACAAGACAAAAGTTCGATCAGACCATAAGATTATTTACATCTCACAAAACATCAAATATTTCTCAAATAGCCTTTGATTCTAATCCTTAGTCTTGTATAAAAAGCTCTTCTTACTTCTTACAAATTATCATAAGCATAACACCAAGGATATATGCCCTAAATATTAACCTTCTCAGGTTCTTTTAAATAATTCTAATAAACCTACTGAACATTAAAACTCTATGACAATTCTAAGAAAAGATTTTTTTAAATGGGACAATTTGAAAAAAATCAAATTTGGACGAAGAAAGATCATTGTTAAAAGATTAGGCGCAATTGTTTCAAAAGTCAAAAATGTGCTTTGGCTTTTATTACATTTAACTCTTTTTGTCAAACTTCCGTATATATCACTGTGTTGTTACAGGAAGAAGAAGAATGTAAGGAGTTATTAAACAGTAAACTCCTACAGAGATGCTCCTGGGAGAAACCGAGGCTGTCCTCTGCCAGGTTCTGTGGGGAAGATGAAGAGATACCGAGGATAAAACTTCCACAGGTTACTCTTACCTCCATTTTACATACTAGCATTGAGAAATTCTTTTGGTGAAATTTACTTTTAAATGACTCACCTCTTAACGAATAAATGAGATAATCATACTTTACCTCTTTAACAAGTTGAAATTGTGGGTTACTACAAAAGTGATTTGCACATGTTGTAGATAAAGTGTGAGGTAATTTCTATAATTACCCACTAATCAAGCTAGAAACAGATGATATCTTCCTCATTATTGATCAAATAAAGATTAAAAGGGTATTATTGCCAATCAGACATGTCCTTCTAAACCATCAAGAATGAAAGATGATGATATATGCAGGACCAAGTGAGAAGGTTAAGGGATCTATCTGGTATGCGCATACCTCACATGAGACAAAGTGTCAAAGAGGTCATTGAACCAGATGTTTTGGGTAAGCATATTTATGCCATTAAAATTAATAAACATTCATTTTTCAACTTAATTTCCATAAAATTGCAGAAGAGGCAGTCCTTTCAGCTGTTTTGAAACATCTAGGCATAGGTAAAGAATATGATTCACAAGATTTAAAAAAAATCTTTGCTTTTCATCTTAATTAATTTTTTAGGCGAAATTCTGGATAATTTTTGCACACATGAGGCTGAGTACTCCCTAGAATACTTTACCATGACTGACATTATGATGGAAACTTACCAAAAACTGTATGCTCTAATTAGAAAACTGCAAACTATTGCAGAATTGGAGAACCATGTGCAGAATGATGTTGAAGACATCAGAGAGAAGAGAATCAAAATTGGGGAAACTTTCTATGCAAACTATGGACATGATGAGTCATCACTGAAAGATTTGGCACTTATATGCTTTATCAAAGATGTTGAATTTGATGACAAGAAACCACAGAAATCTCTTGAAGAACTAAATAAGGCCATTGAGGCAGAAGCTTTTGAACGAGACATAAATGCCAATAAACCACTTAATAAAACAGCTCAGATTGTTCATGCAATATTGATGAGAGTAGAACTACTGCTTCAAGTGTCCATTGATACTGCTGTGGAGAAGTCAAAGTTTTCCAATATGATGTCCCGGAGTCTTCAATCTTGGCCTTCCGTGGACTCAAAGTCTTTAAAGAAACAGCTTTCATTTGACATTGAGCAATCACTGGATGATTCCATTCTTCAAATTCCGAAGCTTCGACTGAAACGTAAGATAAGAAAAATCAAACAGTCTGCTACACAGTTAAACAAGCCTGATGAAGATGACAAACTTCCACAAACAGTTGTTCTAGAGCAGCTCTTTCAATTTATTGGCAGTCATCCGGAGCAAGCAGTTTCCCCCTGGAAATTCTTGGAAGCTGTGAGTATTCGCCGGGAGAGAAGTGTTTCTAGAAAGTATGCCTTAACTTTTATGAAGGAGTTGTTGAAATCAGCTGTTGTTGCTGGAGGTGGAACTTACTTAGTAAATTCCATTGCTTTCTTAATCCAGTCAGGACCAAGGCTAAATGAGCTGACTTGTGGTGGTTTTGTAGAAAAAGTATGTGAAGCTTATGGAGAAATTATGATGCTTATAGTTCATCTTTCATCTAAATTTCCATTAGCATGTAAAGGAAGCATAGGCATACTTTGCACTGTTCCATATGAGAGATATGAAGAAAAGAGCTTAGTTCGAAGTGGGTTGGTCAACTTGCTGGATAAGCTTTGTAGCCAAGGAACAAGTGCAAAGAAACATGAGGAAAACAAGCAGTACAAAGCTGAGGATATTCACAACCTTTCAAGCATAGCTTGGGCAGGATTTAAAGTTTTAACCAATCGTTGCATGAAGTGGCAAGAGGAAGAAAGCAATGAAGTCACCGATGAACTTAAGATAATGGGGTTAGCTCACCAAGTCTCAATATTGCTGACAAACAATTTAGCAAGAGCAACAGATACAGAAAAAGAGTCAACAGAAAATGAGGCACTACAAGAGATCCTTCAAATGTTGAATAATATGTCTTCCAGTAAAATGGGAAAAGATATACTGAGCCAACCATCCTGTGTCTCAAAGCTGTTATCTTTGCTGCTTGAACCAAAGCTCTCACCAAAGATGATTTTGACCATCATTCAACTATGTCACTCTGCTCTTCCACTTATGTCCCCTGAAGGATTTTCCCATATCAGTCTTCCACACTGGACACTTGGTCAGGAAGAGGTAAAGATCAATAATCTTGATCCCCCAAAGAAAATCATAAGCCTTATTTATGCTAAACTGGCGGATTTTCTAATTCCTGGTTGTCAGATATCTGCAACTTCTCATGGAAAAACATCTTGTAAATTAGCATCCAGAAAAACATCTACAGAAGGAACAGAAGAGGGGGATGCATTAGATGAAAAAGATATTCCTCAAGATTTACCTGATATGGATAGAACCCTTTCTCTTTTCATACATAAAAGAGAAGATCAATCAGCCAATGAGATTGTACAGCAGCTGCTGAATGCAAGCTCAGAGATCAGAATATTCAGATTTACTGGACCACAAAATATGGAAAAAATTGTCTTAATTGATAAAGAACTAAATAAATATCACAGGGCTGAGGTTGTAACAGATGATGCCACTGTAATACTTAGACGTGCAGTAAAACTTGCTCAACAAGGATTCATTGTATCTGTTGGAACTCCGCTTAAACTTGATGAGCTAACTGAAGAGAAAAAGAATGCTGTTGAACAAATAGCAAAGGATAGAAATGTTCTTCTTTCTAAGTTTGATCCTGCCCGCCCATTTATCAGTAGCCCAGTAGCAAACAGTATGGCTTGTGAATTAATAGCCCTTATACATAGCCTGTTCAGATCATCTACTGCTAATCTTTGGGAAACTGCTATAAATGACTTTATTTCTGACAAGCTTGTAGACCTAAGCCATATTGCAACTGCTCAAGACTCTCTTTTTTCTGGTGCCCCATATGAAATTTTTGAAATTTATAATAAAGCTAGAGATTTGCTGGCAGTCTTGGCATCTTTGGGAGGATACACTGAGTTCATAAAACCTGGAATATGTGCAAAGGTATCAGGTCAAAACATGGATGAATCTACAGTTTTAATATCCTCCATATCTGAACAAACAGGACAAGCGCAAGTGCAATTTAACATTCCAAATGATGTGTCCCATTTCCCAAGACCTTCTAACACAATTCTAGTACCTCTTCAAAGAATCAAAACTTTAAAAAGAACAGACCCAGTCCAGCTTTTCCTTCCTCTTGCTGATGAATTGATAGCATCCCTTCAGTCCCTGTTAGCTCCAGATCCAACAGGAGTGGAACCTCTCAGTACTGCTCTTCCAGCTCATGGAGAGGGTAGAAGTCTTAAGCTAGCTACCTCAAGATTAATTGCCGAGCTTCGAACAAGAGCAATGCATGTAATGTCACTGTTTTTAGAAGAACCAGAGTTTGGTTGTAAATTCATGCAAGCCTCTTGCCAGGCAGTTGATATGCTCAAATGCTTATCTAAAGATTGTCTTCCTTCTGATAGAATAGAGACTGTTGAAGCAGCAACAAGAAGACTGAGAAATTTATATCGAGATTGTGTTAAGCCCCCAGCACCACCTTCAAGAAGAAATGGTACTAAACACAAAGTAATGATTTGGGACTCCACAAAAACTTTTCCTCCTCTACGATCAGTCCTGTTTACTCATAACATGTTGGGGATAACTTATTACTCTGAACCAGTCCATGGTACTGGAGCTCCAAGAGGAATCTTTGTTTATGGTAATCAAATGATACCTCCATCAGCCAACTTTTTCTATTGGGAAATTGATATTCTTTCATTGGGTGACACCCCAGATGACTCAGGTACTCCTCTGATATCTGTTGGATTTGCCCCCTTAGCAGAGAAGAAAGATGGTCCATGGAGTAATCCAGTTGGATCCATGCTTTTTCATAGCAATGGTAGAGTTGTTCATTATAATGGATCTAGTCTCCTGCAGTGGAGATCATTAAGATTTGATTCCCAACTAAATCCTGGCGATATTATTGGTATTGGTTGGGAAAAGGTCTTTGAAGCATCAGGAAATATTCCTTCTTCAGGAACAGTATTTTTTACTTTAAATGGAGTAAAGCTAGACCAAGGATTAGAGGAGGTTGCTGGAAACATGTTTCCTGTAGTTCATGTTCAGAAAAAGAATACAAGAATCAAAGCTAACTTTGGGAATTCTAAGTTTGCATATGCAGAGGGGAGAAAACATTTTGAAACTAGTTTAGATGAAACAAATGATGAGAATGATTCCAGTGATGGATTTGGAAATATGCATTTTCATACAGACAGTGATTCTTCTGGAGCTAGTAGTCCTGAAAGAGGGTATGCACTAGGGGCCGGTAATAGAAGAATTAATACTTATGCATGCAGAACAGCCTTAACTCCAAAACCTTTAAGAGAATACAACTTGGGATCTGAAGAGTTTAAAACTCAGCTTGGAAATGAGTTGTGCTCTAAAACAGGCTCTCACATTCAACCTATTACTGTTTTGGATGAAGATTCAGACAGTGAAGATGAAGATGAGGATGATCTAAATTTGGAATCAGGGCACAGAGAGGATATTAATAGTCTTTTAGTAAAGTCTTGGGAGACCAAGGTATTCCCTATCATACGCCGCAGATTTAGAAATGAAGCAGAAAGAAAGGATGGATTGGAACAAATAAAAGGAGCACTTTCTTTAGGTATGGCTGATATAGCAAGACAAACTGTTGAATTTTTATATGAAGAAAATGGTGGAGTCCCCAGGGACTTGCATCTACCAACAATAGAAGATGTAAAGGAAGAAATGTCCAAATTTACAATAGAAAGGCTGAAGAAAGGCCAACAAGTAATTATTTCAGAGCCAACACAAGAATTTACAATAATGCCAAAGTTTGCAGTTCCAATAATGATGAAAACATTTGGTCTTCCTGGAGAAGTTTTAGAGATTGATCCAAATAATGAACTTGTTCAGGTTGAGTCTTATCTAAAATCAGAGGGAGTTTTAGTAAGGTTTTGGTATCCTATAAGTGTACTAGAAAAGCCTTCTGATTGCACCATAAAGGTGGCAGTTACTGGTGCACAAGTGATCAATGTCAATAACCTTCAGATTCACAAGGAACTAATGAGCTGGGAGTTTGCCATGTCAAGACTTTATTGTAGAGAGTCTTATGTGAAACTTATTGAACATAGCAGGAATAATGATTTAGTTTATCTTAATCCAGTGGAAGAAACAACATCAGCCTACACAATGATAACTTCCAACATATTACTTTTGAAAGATATTGATGTTGAGAACCTGCAGTACATTTCCAACCATTGTCTGATGACTCCAGAAAATGGAAATGCGTTGGAAAGAAATTTAAATATAAAAGACTCTCATAGAATTCTAAACCTTGAAAAAGGGACACTTTCAAATCTCTTTTTTGATAATTTTGATCTTTTAAAGATGGAATTATATGATTTCATAGTGCAGGCTTCACAAAAGGGAGAAGATTACATGATAGAATTGACAAACCAAACTTGCATGGTTTTACAATTAGCTCCAGAATTCTTCTCTACAGAGGAAGTTGTTATCAATGATATATCCACGTTGAACTCTTGCATTCTGTTTCCTGGAGCTGCATTTACAGCAGCTTCCGTGCGAATAAGAAGAGGAATAGAGGAAAGTAGTGAGCTTAAAGATTTGACTATACAGCTACAGACTCTTGATAGTTGCTTTGTTAAGTATAATGGACAAATTTCTTCTAGAGACATCATTCAGTATCCTATTGAAACCAATGGATACAAAGATCCTTTGTATTCGGCCTTCACACCTGTTATAATGGCAACAGATAAGGTTAGAGTATCTCATAGTGGAGGAGAAGACCTGGGTATTCGTTTGTATCTTCATTCTATTCCTCAGCAGCTTCCTTTAGCTACAGCTTACATTGAACAAATCCTTGTGGCAATTGAAACAGAAAATGTGTCAAAATACATAACTGAACCAGTCATATTTCACTTAATAGAAGTTCTTTCAGGATTCTTTTGGAGATATGAAATGCCTCAAGAGATAAAAGAAAGGATGTTTTTGCTACTGGCAGAACTGATTCGTTGCTATAAAGGTCTAAAAAAGAAACCCTTGCCAGAATTAAACCTTCCGCAGATGCAACTGTATTTGCAGTTTCAAAATGAGTTACAAATCTTATATGATTATGAATCTTCAAGAAAGCTTCACAAACGGTTCAGTTCCTATATCCAAAGTTTGTTTGAGCTCTCAACAGCTTTTACAGACCTGACAGATATAAATGTAACTCCAGTTATTAAAAAATCAAGATCCCCAACCCCAGTTTCAGGTTCTGATAAGGAAGGATCTCCTACTCCAGCTTCAGTAAGAAGTTCATTGAGAAGAAGATTGAGGCCAACGCGGAGTAGACTTAATTCCTCTGGATCAAATAATTCAGATTCAGGGAGCCCAGTAGCTAAGCAGGACAAATTTTGGTATACTAAACTTCATAAACTTACTACTGTTCTTTGGTTTGTGGTTGATAATGATATATCATACCAAAGTCAAGCAACAGACCTTATAAAAGAAAGCTTCAACCAGACAAAACTAGATGACTTTTCTAGACTTTTGATCCTGAAAGGTGTCCCAAAGCATCTTGAGAAAAGCAATCTTATATCAATTTTAAATAAGTCACTGGCCCCCTTTGGAGGTTCATTCAAGAGTGAAATTTATTTGCACCCTTTAACTGAGAGTACTACAGAACCAGCAATTGAAGCTATTAGCACCACTCGTAGACCTAGAACAACAAGCACTGCTGAACCAGTCCAACCCAACAACTCCGGATATGTCATTCTTCAAGTTAGATCTAAGTTTAAATCTAGTGAAGTAAAGCAAGAGCTTTTGAAAAACCCCATTTTATCTCAACCTGGGGAGTTTGATATTCCAGATGAATTTGATCCTTGTCTGGGACTTAGTGTTTACAGAGTGACTTCAGCATTTAGTGTAGAAGATCCAAAGTACAATTTTATTCTTGACGGCTACTTGAAAACAAAGATCTTTGACAAAGAGGGTAAATTACGGATAGAGGCTTACAATGCATTGGAAGACATATTCATTTCAAGTTATCTTGCTTCTCAGAGATTTTATGAAAAATTAGAAGAGAATGATGATTCTAATGATAGTGCGATTCATTTAAAGCAAGGAGATATGTTAGTTCAAACAGAAGGAAATCTAATTTATTCATTCTTTTTTGGTATTAAACAGACAAAGCGAGCTCTGATTGAAGGGGTAAAGGAGGTCTTGGAGCAATATGGTTCTGAAAAATATCCAGAAAGTGGTAAAGAGAATGAAGGTAGCAACTCAAGGAAAAGTTCAATTGAAAAAGATGTCTCCAAGGTTTCTGGTGATGTTGAGGGGTCCATTGTTTTGAGAGTGGTCCAGGAATTTCGGGTAAATACATATGATTATTTTTATTTAAAATTCTGTGATGGTGATAGACCAAACCTCTGTAGAGTAAAAAAAAGTAGATGTTAGTTCCACATTTATTGAAAATATATTTCTGTCTGGGTTGAACCTCGTCAGTTCTAACGATATAATAACCATCAAAATCGATAAAAAAAATTTTTAAAAAATTTTGTAAAAAATTACAAGAAAATAAACAAACAAAAAAAATTATTCAAAATAAAAATTTGGGCTGTCAAATGGACATAAGGGAACCAAACTCAGATTTTAGATGGAAAAAAGATAATTTCCAAATATATTCACTTTTAAAAAAATGTTTTAAGACAATTATTATTTCCCCCATTAAATATAAACTTTTTTACTAGGCATCTGAGGACACAATGAGTAAAAGAGAAAATAACAGCTTTGATAAATCAGAATTGAAAGAGCAAAGCTCTGAAGAAAAAAATAATTCAGAGCTTGGATTAGAGCTCGATGGATTTATTAGGTGAGTCTGCCATTCTTTGTTTTCCTATTGATGATAATTATTAACTATTGTTTAACAGGTTTATCTGTGAATATGCTGAACAGGATATTCGAAGTGTCTGGGTTGGATTACAAAGCTGTGGGTTTGATCTTCTACTTGAAAGGGTTCATCCCACTGATATAGACAGAGTGCAAAGCATACATTCGCCTTGGAACAGAAAACAAGATCAGGCTTTAATAGAGTTTGGGAATATGATTGGAAGAACCCTTAACATATCTCCCATGAAAATATCACCAAATGAGATTTATCTCACAGAATCAGATCTATCGAGCATCCTATTCTCACCTTTACAAGCCTTTTCAGTAGAGGAAATTAGATCAAGATATTGCTTCTTAAAGCAGTTGAACCTAGGTATAGCAGAACTTCTACCTATGACAGATTTTCGGGCAGCCGGAGCCTATTCTAGAAGTATTGGATCTGCCTTATCAAAGGGCAGAAATCTCATCTTTTATGATGTTAAAGAGACCTTTTTAAAGCATCTAATAAATTCAACACATCAAAGAAATCCTGAACATGCTCCTCCGGAGATTGTAGTAGATCCTGTAGAAGAGATTGGAAACACCAATGAAGATGTCTGTTCCACTTTATTTTGTCATGCATTGAACCAATTGGCTGAGGTGCAATCCTGTTCTCTTAATGTCAGCATTGCAGCTGGGGGAGATCCGCAATACCCCTTTAACATAAAAATGGCAGGAGATGAGGTCCATGGAAACTCTGGATCTTTCAGACACTTTCTTTCTGCAGTTGTAGATCAGCTTCATGGTCCAACCCTGAACCTTTTAGTCCCTTACAGGGGCACTGGGCCCTACACTGGTAGATACTTCCTCAAGCCTGGACCAACAAACTATGGAGAAGAAAAAATGCTTCAGTTCTTTGGTCAGTTGTTGGGCATCTCAATGAGGGCTGGTATTCCTTTACCCTTGGACTTGATGCCAACATTCTGGATGTCTCTGGTGAATCAACCTCTCCTTTTGTGGACTCAGTCCAAAGACATAGATCCTGTAACCTTTAACTATGTATCAGATCTAGAATCAATTACTGAAGATAAATTTGAAGAGTTTTTGGAGGAGAATAATCATCCTAAATTTACACTTTCTTCAATAGGCGGGGGATATGTGGAGCTGTGTCCAGAAGGAGTTTCGCGCTCCCTATGTTGGGATAATTTAGAGGAGTATGTTGATTTGGTGAAGACATGCAAACTGAAAGAGTGGGAGTCTAGAGATAGAATAACACATATACAAGCTGGGTTAGGATCTATTGTTCCCGTAACATATCTGATTCACACCTTCACGGCCCAGGATCTAGAGCTAAAACTGTGCGGAATACCACAGATTAATATTAACTACTTGAGGCAACATACACTATACCAGGTAAATGATTATGAATGACATGACTAACGTCATAATTTACTAAACATTTATTGGGTTTAGGTTGGTATATCTGAGTCTGATGAACATGTCCAGTTCTTCTGGTCTGCTTTAGAGTCATTTAATCAGGTTATTCTTTACTCTTGATTTTCCAGTTCTCTTCAGGCTAAAACTAATCAACGAAAAGTGTCAAATTAAGTGTGTGGTTTCAGCTTTCATGCGTTGTCGCAAAAGTAAATTGTGATATCTCCATTTTCATCCTATGGGGTTAACTTAGTTTTCAGAATTTTTGCTAATTTTCCATCTTTTTCGTTTGTTTTCTAACTAAACGATCGTTTAATTAAAGTGAGATCGTTTGTTCAGTGAAATCGTTGGTTTAGTAAAATAATGATCGTTCTTTGTTATTTTGTTTTAAAAATTGTTTGTTCAGTAAAAGAATATTGTTTTTTTATAAAGTTTGTTAAAAAAATCGTTTGTTCAGTAAACAACTATCGTTTTTTTCAGGTTTTTAAAAAAAACCTTTGGTTATGAAAAATGTTGTTCGTTTACAAAAACAATGCACGTCTCTAGTCTACAGTTTTTATGTCGTATTTTGTTTGCAGGAGGAGCTGGGACGGTTTGTTAAGTTTGCATGCAATCAAGATAGAATCCCAATGTCCCAGGATGAGGAGGGTGTAACCCTGCCCCCCTATCCAATGAAGATTGCTCCCCCTGACAGACGAGAGGGGGACCCTGATGCCCAGTATATTAGGGTTGAGACCTGTATGTTTATGGTTAAACTCCCACGATACACTACCTACGAAAGTATGCGGGAGAAACTACTCTACGCTATAACATGTGCCATGGACCCCCTGAGCGGGTAGTGGTGGGTTGGTTTGAAAATTATAAAAATATAATAATTTAAAAATATCTCTGTTATTGAACAACAACAACATTAAATTAAAATTGAATCAACCTTGCCTGCCCTCACCCGCTAAGAGGTTGAAGATTTAAAGATGACTGTTGGGAAATTATTCTGTCTTATTTCTCTGCAGCTGTCAACTTGTTTCTTTTCTGATAAGCCATGCATAAAGCATTACAGTTATCATTTGTACAATTATTGCCGGTCCCAAATCAAGATATTTCTTGACAATGAAAATTAAAGACAAGTATTTATATAACCGCCATTTTATTCTAATATTTATTGTTCTCGCAAAAAATAACTAAATGTATGATAAATGTAATAATTGAGTGATTGATGAAAAATACTGTTATATAAGGCTTAATTTCTAGCTACCCTTCAGCTAGTTGTAGAGAGGCATTTTATATTCACAACTGTATCTATTACATCTGTCTCTAAGCAAACAAAAGTGGAAAATTCGGCCATTTTCATTCTTTGTCTCTGATGCATAGTTCCGTAAGTAAATAAATCACAATTGGAAAATATCAATTTTTGATCAGACAAATATAAAACCTGTAGGTTGGAATCGTACACAGAACTTATAAAGTCCCTTATATAGTCCCTTATATAGTCCCTTCTATAGTCCCTTATATAGTCCCTTATATAGTCCCTTATATAGTCCCTTATATGGTCCCTTAAACTGGTATTATTATCATCACTTTGTTCCGATGTTAAAGCAAATGTTTAACATCGTACTGAAGGTGCCGATTAAATTACAGTTTGAACATAAGTTGCAATACAACTATGCAATATATTGCATTTCCAATGCAACCATACAATATATTTCCTTCGCAATACAACTTTGCAATATATTGCATTTGCAATAGAACTATGCAATATATTGAATTTGCAATTCAACTATGCAATATATTGAATTTGCAATACAACTATGCAATATATTGCATTTGCATTACAACTATGCAATATATTGCATTTGCAATACAACTATGCAATATATTGCATTTGCAATACAACTATGCAATATATTGCATTTGCAATACAACTATGCAATATGTTGCATTTGCATTACAACTATGCAATACAAATGAATTATCAATTCCTTTGATATTAAACAATGAAAATATTATTTATTTACTCAAAGTTAAGTTTGTAAAAATTCCATTTATCTGTAAAATATATATATAAAATATACATATTATTACATGTATCTATTGTAAATACTAATAAAAAGAAAAAATTTTATTTTAAAAATGAAAGAGGCGTTTTTGGGGTATTTTTAATTGACACCGATTTTTTTAATATTCTATAATAGCTTGTTCTTGTGATTAGAAAATTATACATTCAAGAGATGAAACTGAACGACGTGAGTTATACCTATAAACAGGCTGTCCCACGAAACATGACAGTCGGTAAATAGTTTAGAATGTCTTCCATAATTTGTTTAATGTTTAATACCAAAGACAATAATATAAATATTATATAGGAGTTAGGTTATCGTAAAATTTATTTCAGAGTAAAAATATTTGAGCAAAAGATTTCTTAAACGGAATAAACTACATAAAGCCTTTACTATCTAATACAGTGTATGGAAGACGACATTCAAAACTATTTACCAACTGTCATGTTTCGTGGGACACCCTGTATATACAGGGTTCCCAGGAAACATTACAGTAGCAAGACATCGTCTCAGATCTTTAAAATAATGTTCGGTAATTTATTCGTAAACCTTATTTTAGAAGCTGCGCCTCATTATTTATTATTGTCTAGAATAGTCAGTGACGTCATTTGAGTATTTTGATTGTCCGTATCTATGAAGACGACATTTCTAGTACATTGAAGCACATCTAGAGTAACTAACCTTACTGTACAACCTTGGTGGCATGTTTGACGTGTGTTCATTAGTTTACAAGAATTATATTTTAGTAAAAATAAAATAAATATGAATAACAAGGGAAAATGGAATTGTTTGAATATCGTCTTTTAGAAATACACTTTATTCAGGTTTTAACCTTTACCCATAGATAAATAAATAAACATAGATAGCTTATGTACGCAAAATCACCAAGAATTGTACAGTCTGCGAACTCATACTTCTAGGGGTCAAAGTGTACTTCAATGATAAGCGGGGTGGTTTGGTGTTTTAATGGATTTCATAATAGAGTGTAAAATAACTCCGGTAATGGAACTATTTGAACAACAATATTTCTCTGAGCAATATATCATATTGACGAGAACTGAAGAAGGACATGAGAATTAAATTTCTCTCTACAGAACTCATGTACACCACAAGTAATCAATGACATAAGAACAGCCAATGTTCACAACCGACCTAGTTAATCTATATAATAGGAATATCTTTAAAACATCTCGTACATTTATATCTTTCAAGATGAAAATGTCGTCTTATGCGCAATCTATCTTTATCTATGCCTTTTCCCAATAAAATCGTTTAAATAATCTTTCATCCCGCGTGTAGAAAAATTAGTGTTTCATAAGGGGTCCCAAAACATTATTACTTGAATCTAATGCTAGCAATTGACTCTAGGCATAATTTCAAGAGACCAACCTTTAACAAATATTATTCCCGATTTCCAAAGGTACTCTGCATGTACATGTAAAGGAATGACCGGCAATAAATTGCGGTTGAACTGAGATTGCAATCTCTGTTCAACCACCATACATTGCCGGTCACTCCCTTTAAATATTTTTCTGTACAACAATTTCATTTTTCTATTGCCGAAACAAAATGATCACTAAATTCAGCCCTATTTTTCGCGAACACTTCCTTTAACTGATAGAAAAGACGAAAGTAATTAATAAGATGTGTGATGACCTGTAGGTGGGGAATCTACAACTTGTAATAATGATCCTAAACAATCATTAGTTGAGTGTTTAATCTATTTTTTATACATCAGATTTATACACACACACTCAATATATATAATTGGGTATATTTACATTGGGTTAAATGACGATACGCATTTATTTTGTGTTTAACACCTTAAACTAAAGTAAAATGCATAATAGATTTAAATGTTGTAAATAAATTGGTTGATGAAAGAGAATGTCGTCGTGATTTTAAGTTATCCTGTAGCAAAAGAGAGGTATGACCTTTTCACAATTCAATACCGTTCAAACATTTATATGTTATGGAGGATAACGTCGCTTGTCATGGCTTGAAAAGTGTTAAATTCTGAAAATCTCACCAATGTTTGTGAAGCAAGAAATGCGCAAGCCACTCTTGTAGAGAAACCACAAATGATAATTCTCAGTTTTCATAACAATAATATGGATATCTTACTCATAATTGATGAGAAAAGCTTTTAATGTGAATCGGACATTTCATTCTATCATATAGGGTAACTTAAAGGGACTGTAAAGAGACAGGAACATCAGATAGATGTCTTATATGTATTGTTCAACGCCTGAGATTTTCAGGTTTCCTCCTATACCCCCTTTCATTTTTCCTTTACTGCAGTCCCTTTAAAATTTAAAATTTAAAAAAAGCATAAAAACTATATTGTGTTTAAAAATGTTTTTATTTTATTTTTAAATAGTTCTTTAATTATAGAAACAGAAACTTCTTTGAGCTTGCTTAGCTTAAGTGACTTAAATCGTTGTTTAATGCATGGACACACTTTTATAATAAGGCTCAACTAGTGCATGGACACATAACTCCTTTATTCATGAAAATAAATTAATTCTTTGCCACAAACTCTGATTATGTCAATCCCAATATCTTTACAATCCAATATCGTAGACCATTGATATTTCAACCTGTGAATTCATTAAGATCCAATTATCTAAGTTTGAAATATCAAATGTTAACACCATCAGGTTGCATAGATATAGGGGTTAGAATAATTTGAGTTTTGGCAAAGACTCATGATGCTTGGCACTAAAGTTATTCGCGTCTCTAGGCTTAGCCGTCACTGGGAAAGTTAGGCATCTCGGACCTGTCTACAGCGAGCAGTGACTTTCGATCATAATTTTACCTTTCGAACATACATTTTTCGTTGCGCGCGTTATAAATGAAAATAAAATAAAATTACAACTCTGTAAGATGAAAGATTGTGAACTTATGAACCAAAATGCGATTTGATTCAAATTTAAGAAACCAAATGCATCTCGCTCTATAAGTTTGTCAAGCTTAATGATCACAAATTTAAGACACAAAAGTTCCCCCCCCCCTCTCCCCGAGATAATAAAGTTTCTTTAATCAAATTATAAAGAAATATCTAAAGTAGATTAACGTAGAGAAAACTGAAGACAAATCAACTTTTTAATCCAATTCGAACTTGTTGTTTGAGAAAAAGTAACTTTACTTTAATGTCTGGGGGATATAAATATAAAATTATAATTATATTACTCCGGCGACAAAAGAAAGGTCTTATATAATATACTATTATAAAATTAAACTTATTTTTTCTCTCATACAGGGTTACCCACAAAAGTTGATACTGTAAATACGACCTTAAACTTTATAATTTGACGATCCCAAATCTTCCTTCTTAAATTTAGTCTTATTTAATAATTGGGCAAAGAAAGAAAGACGACAGTTTATAAGTTGCAGGGAACAATAATGCGTACAAGGAAACAGGCCAGCAACAATTCCGTACAGTCATCACTGAATTCTCCTCCTGTGTGGGAAACTCTTTATGTTTAGATTTTCGTCAGTATAATACTATATATAGTATTAGTATATATATATATTATACTAGCTTGGGAACCCAGCGTTCCCGTCTTATACCAGCATTTGGTCAATTTTACTGGGAACCTAAATTTTAAAAAAAAGTTGACCAATTCAGTTTAGAATCTAAAAACTAAGATAAGAACATTCCCTTGGTTCCCCCGAGTTCCCCAATCAAAATTTGAGGCACATCAGTCAAGGGGCTCCTGAGTTATGATCGGAAAAAGAAACTGACAGACAGACAGACAAACAGAGATTACAACTTTATATTTAAAAATACCGCAGTTCGATAAAACATTTATTTTAGTATTTAAATACAAATTAATATCTAAATTTTTAATGGGATATTATAAATATATTATATATATATATATATAAATATTAAATTCTATCAATTTCATTCCTTGTCTCAGTGCAAAAAAGCTTAAGTCCCAATTTTAAGAAAATATAATATGATGAGAATTTATTAATCATTTAAAAATTCGGGAAAAATTCTCAAGAATTACTCGAGACTAAATCTATAATTCAGTTCCCCCCAAAATACGAAAAATATATAAAAATATGAAGATGTTAGCCTATAGTCTTTCCACAAACTCAAATTTTCAAATTACTATATTGATGCAACCTAATGGTGTAAACCATCGATATTTCAAACTAATATTCCAAAGGATTTCACAGAAAAATCTAAGTTACAATTTTCAAAAAAAAAAATCAACCATTTTTGAAGTTATTATTATTAGTTTTTGAAGTTAGAATAAGGAAAGCATATAGAAAACAAAACAAAATACATTTTTATTTTCATTTCATTTCTAGGAGTATGATTTTAAGATGA